AGAGGTGCAGTTGGTGTATTCTGAAGCCCTAGAAAGAGAGCAATGCCTTGCTTGAGGTGAAATGATTAAAAACAAAGTTAGAGAGAGACAGAAAGAGTCTGTCATAGAAATTTACAGATTAGCATTAACATAAACAGATACAACATAAACAGAAATGAACAGATAAGAATAGACTGGCATAGAACATAAACAGAAATATAAAGATAGGAATAGACTGACATAGAACCTAAACAGAAATGAACAGATAGGAATAGACTGGCATAGAACCTAAACAGAAATAAACAGATAGGAATAGACTGGCATAGAACGTAAACAGAAATGAACAGATAGGAATAGACTGGCATAGAACATAATCAGATAGGAACAGACTGGCATGGAACATAAACTGAAATGAACAGATAGGAATAGACTGGCATAGAATATAAACTGAAGTGAACAGATAGGAATAGACTGGCATAGAACATAAACAGAAATGAACAGATAGGAATAGACTGACATAGAAACTAAACTGAAATGAACATATAGGAATAGACTGGTATAGAACATAAACAGATTGGAATAGACTGGCATAGAACATAAACAGAAATGAACCGATAGGAATAGACTGGCATAGAATATAAACTGAAATGAACAGAAAGGAATAGACTGGTATAGAACATAAACAGAAATGAACAGATATGAATAAACTGGCATAGAACGTAAACAGAAATGAACAGATAGGAATAGACTGGCATAGAACATAATCAGATAGGAACAGACTGGCATGGAACATAAACTGAAATGAACAGATAGGAATAGACTGACAGAGAATATAAACTGAAATGAACAGATAGGAATGAACTGGCATAGATATAAACTGAAATGGACAGGTAAGAATAGACTGGCATAGAACATAAACTGAAATGAAAGATAGGAATAGACTGACAGAGAATATAAACTGAAATAAAAAGATAGGAATAGACTGGCATAGAATATAAACTGAAATTAACAGATAGGAATAGACTAACAGAGAATATAAACTGAAATAAAAAGATAGGAATAGACTGGCATAGAATATAAACTGAAATGAACAGATAGGAATAGACTGGCATAGAACGTAAACAGAAATGAACAGATAGGAATAGACTGACATAGAACCTAAACTGAAATGAACAGATAGGAATAGACTGGTATAGAACATAAACAGATTGGAATAGACTGGCATATAACATAAACAGAAATGAACCGATAGGAATAGACTGGCATAGAATATAAACTGAAATGAACAGAAAGGAATAGACTGGTATAGAACATAAACAGAAATGAACAGATAGGAATAGACTGGCATAGAACGTAAACAGAAATGAACAGATAGGAATAGACTGGCATAGAACATAATCAGATAGGAACAGACTGGCATGGAACATAAACTGAAATGAACAGATGGGAATAGACTGACAGAGAATATAAACTGAAATGAACAGATAGGAATAGACTGGCATAGAATATAAACTGAAATGGACAGGTAAGAATAGACTGGCATAGAACATAAACTGAAATGAACAGATAGGAATAGACTGACAGAGAATATAAACTGAAATAAAAAGATAGGAATAGACTGGCATAGAATATAAACTGAAATGAACAGATAGGAATAGACTAACAGAGAATATAAACTGAAATAAAAAGATAGGAATAGACTGGCATAGAATATAAACTGAAATGAACAGAAAGGAATAGACTGGTATAGAACATAAACAGAAATGAACAGATAGGAATAGACTGGCATAGAACATAAACAGAAATATAAAGATAGGAATAGACTGGCATAGAATATAAACTGAAATGAACAGATAGGAATAGACTGGCATAGAACATAATCAGATAGAAACAGACTGGCATGGAACATAAACTGAAATGAACAGATAGGAATAGACTGGCATAGAACATAAACTGAAATGAACAGACAGGAATAGACTGACAGAGAATATAAACTGAAATAAAAAGATAGGAATAGACTGGCATGGAACATAAACAGAAATGAACAGATAGGAATAGACTGGCATAGAATATAAACTGAAGTGAACAGATAGGAATAGACTGGCATAGAACGTAAACAGAAATGAACAGATAGGAATAGACTGGCATAGAACATAATCAGATAGGAACAGACTGGCATGGAACATAAACAGAAATGAACAGATAGGAATAGACTGGCATAGAATATAAACTGAAGTGAACAGAGAGGAATAGACTGGCATAGAACATAAACAGAAATGAACAGATAGGAATAGACTGACATAGAAACTAAACTGAAATGAACATATAGGAATAGACTGGTATAGAACATAAACAGATTGGAATAGACTGGCATAGAACATAAACAGAAATGAACCGATAGGAATAGACTGGCATAGAATATAAACTGAAATGAACAGAAAGGAATAGACTGGTATAGAACATAAACAGAAATGAACAGATAGGAATAGACTGGCATAGAACGTAAACAGAAATGAACAGATAGGAATAGACTGGCATAGAACATAATCAGATAGGAACAGACTGGCATGGAACATAAACTGAAATGAACAGATAGGAATAGACTGACAGAGAATATAAACTGAAATGAACAGATAGGAATAGACTGGCATAGAATATAAACTGAAATGGACAGGTAAGAATAGACTGGCATAGAACATAAACTGAAATGAACAGATAGGAATAGACTGACAGAGAATATAAACTGAAATAAAAAGATAGGAATAGACTGGCATAGAATATAAACTGAAATGAACAGATAGGAATAGACTAACAGAGAATATAAACTGAAATAAAAAGATAGGAATAGACTGGCATAGAATATAAACTGAAATGAACAGAAAGGAATAGACTGGTATAGAACATAAACAGAAATGAACAGATAGGAATAGACTGGCATAGAACATAAACAGAAATATAAAGATAGGAATAGACTGGCATAGAATATAAACTGAAATGAACAGATAGGAATAGACTGGCATAGAACGTAAACAGAAATGAACAGATAGGAATAGACTGGCATAGAACATAAACTGAAATGAACAGACAGGAATAGACTGACAGAGAATATAAACTGAAATAAAAAGATAGGAATAGACTGGCATGGAACATAAACAGAAATGAACAGATAGGAATAGACTGGCATAGAATATAAACTGAAGTGAACAGATAGGAATAGACTGGCATAGAACGTAAACAGAAATGAACAGATAGGAATAGACTGGCATAGAACATAATCAGATAGAAACAGACTGGCATGGAACATAAACAGAAATGAACAGATAGGAATAGACTGGCATAGAATATAAACTGAAGAAGTGAACAGAGAGGAATAGACTGGCATAGAACATAAACAGAAATGAACAGATAGGAATAGACTGACATAGAAACTAAACTGAAATGAACATATAGGAATAGACTGGTATAGAACATAAACAGAAATGAACAGATAGAACATAAACAGAAATGAACCGATAGGAATAGACTGGCATAGAATATAAACTGAAATGAACAGAAAGGAATAGACTGGTATAGAACATAAACAGAAATGAACAGATAGGAATAGACTGGCATAGAACGTAAACAGAAATGAACAGATAGGAATAGACTGGCATAGAACATAATCAGATAGGAACAGACTGGCATGGAACATAAACTGAAATGAACAGATAGGAATAGACTGGCATAGAATATAAACTGAAATGAACAGATAGGAATAGACTGGCATTGAATATAAACTGAAATGAACAGATAGGAATAGACTGACAGAGAATATAAACTGAAATAAAAAGATAGGAATAGACTGGCATAGAATATAAACTGAAATGAACAGATAGGAATAGACTGGCATGGAACGTAAACAGAAATGAACAGATAGGAATAGACTGACATAGAACATAAACAGATTGGAATAGACTGGCATAGAATATAAACTGAAATGAACAGATAGGAATAGACTGGCATAGAATATAAACTGAAATGGACAGATGAGAATAGACTGGCATAGAACATAAACTGAAATGAACAGATAGGAATAGACTGACAGAGAATATAAACTGAAATGAACAGATAGGAATAAACTGGCATAGAACATAAACTGAAATAAAAAGATAGGAATAGACTGGCATAGAATATAAACTGAAATGAACAGATAGGAATAGACTGGCATTGAATATAAACTGAAATGGACAGATAATAATAGACTGGCATAGAACATAAACTGAAATGAACTGATAGGAATAGACTGACAGAGAATATAAACTGAAATGAACAGATAGGAATAAACTGGCATAGAACATAAACTGAAATAAAAAGATAGGAATAGACTGGCATAGAATATAAACTGAAATGAACAGATAGGAATAGACTGGCATAGAACATAAACTGAAATGAACAGATAGGAAAAGACTGACAGAGAATATAAACTGAAATGAACAGATAGGAATAAACTGGCATAGAACATAAACTGAAATAAAAAGATAGGAATAGACTGGCATAGAATATAAACTGAAATGAACAGATAGGAATAGACTGGCATAGAATATAAACTGAAATGGACAGATAAGAATAGACTGGCATAGAACATAAACTGAAATGAACAGATAGGAATAGACTGACAGAGAATATAAACTGAAATAAAAAGATAGGAATAGACTGGCATAGAATATAAACTGAAATGAACAGATAGGAATAGACTGACAGAGAATATAAACTGAAATGAACAGATAGGAATAAACTGGCATAGAACATAAACTGAAATAAAAAGATAGGAATAGACTGGCATAGAATATAAACTGAAATGAACAGATAGGAATAGGCTGGCATAGAACATAAACTGAAATGAACAGATAGGAATAAACTGGCATAGAACATAAACTGAAATAAAAAAGATAGGAATAGACTGGCATAGAATATAAACTGAAATGAACAGATAGGAATAGACTGGCATAGAATATAAACTGAAATGGACAGATAAGAATAGACTAAACATAAACTGAAATGAACAGATAGGAATAGACTGGCATAGAATATAAACTGAAATGAACAGAAGGGAATAGACTGACAGAAATATAAACTGAAATGAACAGATAGGAATAAACTGGCATAGAACATAAACTGAAATAAAAAAGATAGGAATAGACTGGCATAGAATATAAACTGAAATGAACAGATAGGAATAGACTGGCATAGAATATAAACTGAAATGGACAGATAAGAATAGACTGGCATAGAACATAAACTGAAATGAACAGATAGGAATAGACTGACAGAGAATATAAACTGAAATAAAAGATAGGAATAGAAATAGAATATAAAACTGAAATGAACAGATAGGAATAGACTGACAGAGAATATAAACTGAAATGAACAGATAGGAATAAACATAGAACATAAACTGAAATAAAAGATAGGAATAGACTGGCATAGAATATAAACTGAAATGAACAGATAGGAATAGACTGACAGAGAATATAAACTGAAATGAACAGATAGGAATAAACTGGCATAGAACATAAACTGAAATAAAAAGATAGGAATAGACTGGCATAGAATATAAACTGAAATGAACAGAGGAAGGACTGACAGAGAATATAAACTGAAATGAACAGAATGGAATAAACTGGCATAGAATATAAACTGAAAATAAAAGATAGGAATAGACTGGCATAGAATATAAACTGAAATGAACAGATAGGAATAGACTGACAGAGAATATAAACTGAAATGAACAGATAGGAATAAACTGGCATAGAACATAAACTGAAATAAAAAAGATAGGAATAGGAACTGAAATGAACAGATAGGGACATAGAATATAAACTGAAATGGACAGATAAGAATAGACTGGCATAGAACATAAACTGAAATGAACAGATAGGAATAGACTGACAGAGAATATAAACTGAAATAAAAAGATAGGAATAGACTGGCATAGAATATAAACTGAAATGAACAGATAGGAATAGACTGACAGAGAATATAAACTGAAATGAACAGATAGGAATAAACTGGCATAGAACATAAACTGAAATAAAAAGATAGGAATAGACTGGCATAGAATATAAACTGAAATGAACAGATAGGAATAGACTGACAGAGAATATAAACTGAAATGAACAGATAGGAATAAACTGGCATAGAACATAAACTGAAAAAAAAAGATAAGGAATAGACTGGCATAGAATATAAACTGAAATGAACAGATAGGAATAGACTGACAGAGAATATAAACAGAAATGAACAGATAGGAATAAACTGGCATAGAACATAAACTGAAAGAAAAAAGATAGGAATAGACTGGCATAGAATATAAACTGAAATGAACAGATAGGAATAGACTGACAGAGAATATAAACTGAAATGAACAGATAGGAATAAACTGGCATAGAACATAAACTGAAATAAAAAAGATAGGAATAGATGGCATAGAATATAAACTGAAATGAACAGATAGGAAATAAACTGGCATAGAATATAAACTGAAATGGACAGATAGAATAAACTGGCACAGAACATAAACTGAAATGAACAGATGGGAATAGAAACAGAGAATATAAACTGAAAGAACAGGTAGGAATAGACTGACAGAGAATATAAACTGAAATGAACAGATAGGAATAGACTGACAGAGAATATAAACTGAAATGAACAGATAGGAATAAACTGGCATAGAACATAAACTGAAATAAAAGATAGGAATAGACTGGCATAGAATATAAACTGAAATGAAATAATAGGAATAGACTGGCATAGAATATAAACTGAAATGAACAGATAGGAATAGACTGACAGAGAATATAAACTGAAATGAACAGATAGGAATAAACTGGCATAGAACATAAGCTGAAAAAAAAAGATAGGAATAGACTGGCATAGAATATAAACTGAAATGAACAGATAGGAATAGACTGGCATAGAATATAAACTGAAATGAACAGATAGGAATAGACTGACAGAGAATATAAACTGAAATGAACAGATAGGAATAAACTGGCATAGAACATAAACTGAAATAAAAAGATAGGAATAGACTGGCATAGAATAGGAAATGAACAGATAGGAATAGACTGGCATAGAATATAAACTGAAATGGACAGATAAGAATAGACTGGCATAGAACATAAACTGAAATGAACAGATAGGAATAGAAGAGAATATAAACTGAAATGAACAGATAGGAATAGACTGACAGAGAATATAAACTGAAATAAAAAGATAGGAATAGACTGGCATAGAATATAAACTGAAATGAACAGATAGGAATAGACTGAGAGAATATAAACTGAAATGAACAGATAGGAATAAACTGGCATAGAACATAAGCTGAAATAAAAAGATAGGAATAGACTGGCATAGAATATAAACTGAAATGAACAGATAGGAATAGACTGGCATAGAATATAAACTGAAATGAACAGATAGGAATAGACTGACAGAGAATATAAACTGAAATGAACAGATAGGAATAAACTGGCATAGAACATAAACTGAAATAAAAAGATAGGAATAGACTGGCATAGAATATAAACTGAAATGAACAGATAGGAATAGACTGGCATAGAATATAAACTGAAATGGACAGATAAGAATAGACTGGCATAGAACATAAACTGAAATGAACAGATAGGAATAGACTGACAGAGAATATAAACTGAAATGAACAGATAGGAATAGACTGACAGAGAATATAAACTGAAATAAAAAGATAGGAATAGACTGGCATAGAATATAAACTGAAATGAACAGATAGGAATAGACTGGCATAGAACGTAAACAGAAATGAACAGATAGGAATAGACTGGCATAGAATTTAAACTGAAATGAACAGATAGGAATAGACTGGTATAGAACATCAACAGAATAAATATGGATGATAAGAAGCTGGATGAGCATAAAATATTTATATTTGTCTTTTTAATCATTTCCTCCCAAGCAATGTGTCAATGCCACTAGGATGCAGGCGATTACACAGAGTGAAAGAGAATGAGAATACTTTAGTGGGGAGGAGTGTGGAAATCTCAATAAAGGTACTGTGCTCAGGAAGACAGGAGATTGTAGGTGGCAGGGAAGCAAGAAATAGGAAGGGAGTTCCACAGGTGAGAATGAGAAAAGAATCTGTTGGAGCTGAAGTCGCAATAGCATCTAGTTAATTCAACAGTCAAACGGTGAGACCTAGTTGCTAATCTCGTAGTATTCTTAAATTCATGTAGTCAAGTCACAAGGGAAAAAACCTCATCAGAAAAGTTGCCATGAAAATATTTGTAGAAAAGAAAAAAAAAAGCATACCACATCAGTGAGGAAATGACTAGTCAAGAAACCAGGTCAGGATTGATTACATTGCTGACCCTTCTTTGGATTTTGTCAAGAATCTCAAGCTATACATCAAAAGCACCATTTCAGATATAGCAGCAATATTAGATGCATGGACAAATGGTAGATTTATAAATATTCAAGATGAAAAAATTTTCTGGAACAGCACAGTGAGTCAACTTTCCTAAAAGTAGACGCAGTAATTGATTCAATATAATCGCTCCACTTCATGTCAGTGGAAGACATGAGCTCATAAGGCGTAGAGTGTTGCTCTCCTGAAACCATTGCTGATGGCAGGCAGAAAAGATTCTCTATGGTGATTAAAAGAAAGACAAGAAAAATATATAGATAGGTATAGATTGATATAGAAATGAAAAGAATAAGAGAGAGTAATAAGAATTGGTTCTGACAGTCATTAGCATAATATATGAGACTAGACAAGAGAGAGAGAGAGAGAGATAAGAAAAGAGTATTAGGTGATAAGAACTGGTTTTGATAAGCATTATCATAAAATATACAAGACAAGATATATGAATATATATGAAGGGAATAAGGAATAGGTTTTGACAGATATAAGTATAAAATATATGAAACAAGATGAGATAGATAGGAATAAGCTAACATAGATATGAACAGAATAATAGAGAGTGGGAGGAATTGATTTTGACAGATATAAGTATAAAATATGAGATAAGACAAGCAGATATACTGACAGAAAGATGAATGAAAATAAATACATGAAAAAAAGTTATTAAATTTTTTCTCCTTCCCAACATTCCATATCTATATTTTATTACAAGGTCTTCTTATCTCCAAGTAGATAGTTCAATATAAACAGACTGAGATAGATCCAAAGTTCAAGTGGATAAGAAATTGTATTTATTCCAAGAGTTATTTGGAATGCCATTCTCATCTTTGCTGCTTTTGATAAAAACGGTAACAATGAGAATCCTGGTCCAAATAACTCATGGAATAAGGACAATGACTCACAGAATTTTAGATAATATTTATAAAAGAAATATGACAAGGTTAAAGAGTGGAACCTGAAAACCTGCCCTCCATGGAAATCATTATGTCTGTTTGCTTGCCCCAGTTTGGGCTTCAAATTCTTTCATCTAAAATGATAAAATATCAGAAATGCTGACACAAATTCAGTATTTTTTGCTTGTGTTTCCCTTTTGAAATATGAAAATTTAAGAAACACATTTTTAAAAGAAAAAAATGAATAAAGCAAATAAAAAAATCTAAGTAATCATAAAAAAATTAAAGCTTTTGGAGATTTCTTTTGAATTTTGAAAATTTTTCATTGGAAAATGAAAAGTCAATAACCAAAAATTAATAGAAGCAAAGAAATAAAGGAAGGCAGTCTCTTGGTTTTACAAGAAAACAAGAAAAGAAAAATGGAAAAAGAAAGAAATTAATCAATAAAAGCAGCAGCCATCTTTATTGCATTTTCTTTTTTTGTTTGAACATCTGGGATGGTTGGTTATATATACTTTTTTTTTTAATTTAGACCAAAGCCACTATTTTATATTTCTTTTTTGTAGTTTTTATTCTTTAAAGGCAGGTTTTTAAGTACAGTTTTGGAAAATAAATATAAGTAATGGTTACTCATCCACAAATAAATCAAGTTAAAGCTTAGGATGAAGCCAAGGTCTGTAGATTACTCAACTTATCTATGAGCTTTGCATACTCCCATCAATATGTATGGAAGTAAATATATGTAAGTATGTGTATAAAGATTGACACACACACATATATATATATATATATATATATATATATATGCAATTTTTATATATATGTTATTTATATATTATATATATGCACGGTACTTATGGAAAGCACTCAATATCAGTGATAGAGCTAACATATTTAGTGGGATTACTGTGAGTTTGTGACCCTGGGTTTCACACTCTCTGCAATCATCAGACAAACTGATTAATTTTAAAATTTTGGATTTATTTATGGTTGCATATGTCAGTGTTTTATGGTAGTGGGAGGAATATATATATATATATATATATATATATATATAAAAGGTGTATCAAAATACTTATACAAACATTGGAGACGGGTTCCACACACCAAAACAAGGACAAAAGTACATATAAACACATGTCCACAAATCCTTCGTTTTTGAGTTATTAAGTTTAAAGTTTACAGTAGATGCTGTTAAATGTACAATCCAAGATACAAACCAAAAATACTTTTATAAACTTTGGCGATGGGTTTCTCATACCTAAGGAAGGTAAAATGACTCTATAAACATATGTCCAAAAGCCATCATTGTACCTCAACACAGCAACTTATAACAAATGTTCAATATGCCTTCCACTTGCTTCTATACACACATCTACTCATTGGATCATTGATTGGCAGACCTTTTTCAAGTACTCCCATTGTCAAATAGATTCACAGGCCCCAATGACATGTTGATGAAGCATCTCTGCTTTATTAAGCCATTATTAAGTCTATCATTGTCCCTTAAGATACCAACTCATAACAAATGTTTAAAATGTCTTCTGTTTGCTTCCACACATGCATGTACCAATTGGATCACTGTCTGGTCAATGGTTTTGCAGGTCCCAATGACACATTGATGAAGTGTTTCTGCATTATTAAGGTCTTCCACATAAACTAATTGCTTTATATAGCCTGATAGATAAAAATCCAAAGGATTGTCCTCAGGGAACTTGTAGGCCATAGAAGCAGTCCTCCTCTACATATACATCTTTCATGGTAGATGTCAGCCAATGCATTGTGAAAAATGTGACTAAAATGTGCTGTAGCCCCATCATGTATGAACCACGTTCATCTTTATATACACAAGGGTACATTCTCTAGCAGGCCTAGAAGTGTGTTCAAAATATAAGTCCCAGTGAACAGCTCCTGTAAGATGTGCTGGGAGAACATATGGACCTACCAGACAGTCATCTACAATTCCAGCCTACACATTAATCATAAACTGATGCTGGTATCTAGCTTGTATTGTTCCATGGGGATTCAAATCAGCCCATAAATGTTTGTTGTATAAATTTGTTATTCCATCTCTTCCAAATGGTGTCTCATCCATGAACAAGACAGAAGAGACAAACAACGATCGACAGTTTGTGCAATAAACCAACAGCAAATGTTCTCACATAGCGAGTGATTAGAGGGCGAAAGACCCTACAAATGTTGCAAATGATACGGATACAGGAGCTTCACTTGGAGTACCCTCCAGTACTATGAAATGTAGGACATGATAGGGCCACTTCACATGTGCTGATACCTAGATTGTCTCCAATGACCTGTAGAATGTATTCTTTGTGGTCAGGCATACAAGTAGATCTTAGTCTTTCTCGATCTATAGTTTGTGGTGCTACAGATCTTGTCTCAGCAACACAATGATAAACAGCAATGAAGGTTGGATGACTCATCTGCCTTCAGTCTGGAAACACAATCTGATACAGCCATGCAACTTCGTGTCCATTACCATTCAGACGGTTGTATGTAAAAAATCATATCTGCCTGTTCACAATAGGAATATCCTGCCACTGTTAAATAGAACACTTTTCAGTTAATACCACTACACATATTAAATGTTCAAGACAGACTAGACACAAATGTAGATGAATGACAAATGTAAGAAATTCGTTTTTGAGTCTTCGTGGCCAGGTCTATGAGCAGATCTTGGTCATCCTCAATCCATAGTTTGTGGTGCCACAAATTCTGGCTCAGCAATGTGACAATAAACAGCAGCAAAGGCTGGATGACTCGGTTGCCCTCTGTCTGGAAATGCAATCTGGTACACCTGTGCAGCTACAAATGTACACGAATGACAAATGTAACCTAGTCTACATAGCAATAGAGTGTCATCTACTGTAAACTTTCTTTAAACTTAACTCAAAAAAGAAGGATTTGCAGATCTATATTTATATGGACTTTTGTCCTTATTTTGGTACAAGGAACCTGCTTGAAAATTTTGTAAAAGTATTTCTGATACACCCGATATATGCACTGGTGAAAATAAGTTTAAGGCCATTGATTAAAGTTTTATTCATTTCAGAATATGTTTCTAATAAAACAATATAAATTAGTTTTTTTTGTATATGCTTTATGCATAATTTATTTCTCTTACAAATGATGTAAAAATTGTACATTTTTCTACAACTTGAAAAATTTTAAGTTAAATTATCCAAATTTACCAGAAAAATAACTTTAAAACCACATGGGTATTATGCAAATTATTTGCTAAATGGGTGGTCACATGGCTAGTCATTATATAGTGTAATAACTGAGCATTGTTATACAATTAATTCACTATAGGAAAGCATTGTCGTCTTAGCCCAAATCAAAAATAGTGTTACTTCATCAACAAAACATTTTCTTTATAAACATAAGATTGCTTGCAAAATAGCTTGTGTTCAGGCTTAGAAGCTTTACCAGGGTACTGGACAATATAAGGATAGGCAAAGATCAGGAGCCACAAGAAAAACAACAGTGCAACTGGATAGACAAATTCATAGTCTTTCCCAAGCTAACTAAATGCCGATGACCGTGGACATTTGCAGCCAATTATCTGGTAAAACTGGCATTAAAACTGTCCAAAACTGTCTAAGAGAATTTGGATTATTTGGGCGCATTGCTAGAAAAAAGCCAATTATTTCAGAGAGGAATTGACTTGAATGGCTGAATTTCACAAAAAGTTACATTCAATGGACAACCAATGATTGATGTAGAGTTTTTGGAGTGACAAGTCACACTTTTGCATCTTTGGATCAGATGGAAAAAACCTTTGTCAGATGGCACCCAACTGAGTAATTTCATGCTAAATGTGTCAAAAAGACGACACAAGCAGGAGGTGGGTGTGTAATGGTGTGGGGTGCAATCAGTAGCTTTGTTATTGGTCCAATTTTTAAAGTTGATGGAAAACTCAACTGTGTAGGCTATATGCAGCTAGTTAAGGAACATGTTCTACCATATTTGACTGACCAAATGCCACCTGAAGCTATTTATCAACAAGATAATAGCCCCATTTACAAAGCCAAAAAAATAATGCAATTTTTTGATCACTATAATATGGATGGCATTGAGTGGCCTCCACAGAGACCAGATCTTAATGCAAATGAAAATTTATGGAATTATATTTCTAAAAGTGTTCATGCTAAAAAAACAATGAATTTAGCACAATTATATGATTATATTAAGCAAATATGGCAGAGCATTCCAAATGATTTTTGGGCTCACTTATCAAGCTTGATCCCTAGGTGATGTGAAGCTGTAATTAATAATAAAGATTACGGCACTAAATATTGATAAATATTTTTGGGTTTTTTTGCTCATTTTTACTATAACATTTTGCTTTAAATATAATACCCAGGCAGTCTTAATCTTATTATAGCTGCAAATTTGGATAATTTAAATTAATCCAACATTAAAATTTTTTGAGTTGTAGAAAAATATACAATTTTTACATCATTCAAAAGAGAAATAAATTCTGCATAAAGCGTACACAATAAAACTAATTTATATTGTTTTATTAGAAACATATTTTGAAATGAATAAAACTTTAACCACTGATCTTAAACCTGTTTTTGCCAGTGTGGATATCATAGAAAATGGATTAAATCTGACAAATATTATATTTTCTGTTTATAAAAAATAATGTATAAATAGAAAATATATTAAAATATATATATATATATATATATATATATATATATATAGATTGGAGAGTGAGATCTGGTGTTAATA